ACGGCTCTGTGAATTAGAGTCTGTCGCCGATTTTGTTAAAATCCTTTCTTCAGTCGCTTTCGTTCAAGCTTTTCGTTTCTTAAAGTGAAATCGTGAGCTTACCGATGATGTTCGTTAAGAATTCATTTAAAAGACGTCGTTATAATGTCTTTTAAATTTGGTGGCGATGACACATTAGACGGACCATCTTCTGTTTACTTTATAACTCTCATGTGAAAAATGCTAAAAAGAAGAGCAGTCTTGGGAATTCTCCAGAGCGCGTTCTTTTTTTGCAGGCGGTGTGGTGTTACTTAAGTGTTCTGAGTGACATGAATGGCCTCAGTGTCTCAGCAAGTCTCAGGATGATCATTATCAGCAGAGCGGCGGCTTGGGCCGAGATAAAAGGGACGGTACTTCTAAATTAAATTCGAGCATGGCTTCCAGCCTTTTTAATGACTTTGAACAAATTCATAATAATTTACTTTTGCTATTGGAGGAGACAGAAGAGAATAATCGTTGGAGAAGTCTGCAGTTCTGTGGCTCCGTGTGCCGGGCCATCTGAATTTGTGTGCTCAGGGTGCAGCTGGCACTGGCTGGTTACATTCCTTCTTTTGCACCCAGCCCATCTCATGTTTTTCTCAGTTGCAAGCAGTAGGGGGCAATGTTGAGCTACCGGTTGGAGGCCCCCAGATGTGAGCCTTTCAGGAAAATGCATACAAATGTACCATTAACTGTCAAGAATTATCCCTGTTGCTTCAAGTTAGCTGTAATCTCCAAGATTCCATAACACAGGAAATCAGTTGTGGGTTAACAAATTCAACAGCAATTTAACATAAAAAGTGCAGTGTTTGGTGCACATTTGGATTCTATAGAATTAGGCTAATCTAAACGGTATTTCTGAATGTACTCACTTTGCTTCCAGGGAATATATTACTCAAAATTATTAGCCTTTTAGACAGATGATTCTTTTTTATCTTTATGCCTTGTTTAAAAAATGTAAAATCACATGTGTGTTGCGGAAAGACTTCTCCAATTAATGTATTTTGTCTGTTCTTGTGACATGGGATCGATCTCTTTGGGCAAGAAAATAAAACAGAAAACCTCGGGCAATCTGTACCTTGCTTTTCACCTTTCGCTTATGCGTAGAGCGTTGGTGTTGAAATTTCTCTCTTTGTGTTCTTTTTTTCCACTTTGTGGTTGGAAGACGTGGTCTCAGGTAGGACACGGAAGAAGGAGGGCAAGTGAGCTTTGAAATCGCGTTTCTTCCATTAGTGGTAATTGCTCCACGTGTCGTAACCAGTCGCGTATCTCAGGACGTTGAGTCAGCCGTCTTTAAAACTCCCCCAGCCTCCCCTGCCATCATCCCCTGTTCCAGCAAGCACCGTTTTTTATCAGGCTGTTTGTTCTTGCCATTCCTCTCCCCGAGGATAGTTTTACTCTGTGCCGCTCTTGTGATGTAAATGTTAAACCTTATATTCGAATGACATTCAGATAAAATATCACGTTTCCCCCGAATATTACCTCATGAATTAAATCCAAAGCAGCAGAACCCTTTCTTATATATGGCCCGGAAATTGAGCCTAACCTTTTCTCTCACTTTGCTCTCTATTCAGGGAGGTATTATAACACCGTAATACTATTGAAGTATTTGTATTTGCATTTTATTTTTTTTTTAAAACCAACCCACAACTCCACATTTAAGATTACTGTCTTTATGAGGAGACGCTACAGGATAAGAGAGAGTTACCATTTGAAAGAAAACTATACAAGCCTTGCTTTCTGGGTAAAGAGAAATATGAAAAGCCGAAATCTCCCGTGAGGTGAGCAAGTCTTGCTGTGGCCAGAGATGCAGTGGATAGGCCAGTTGTCTCTCAGGGTCTGATATCACGCTTTGCAAAACTGACATTTATTTTACTTATAAAATGTTTTAACGCTATCAAATTCACAGTGACACAGGAAAGAATGCTGGGTGTGATGTCCTCTAAATTGATGACATTTATTCATTTTTTTGACCTTAAGAAAAAAAAAAAAGGTCAATTTGGTATAATCCAACAGCAATATTCTAGAAGTTTCCAGAGTAAACATTTGCAGAAGGACGGATGGTTTACATACTGGAGAGAAATGTCTTCACGCTTTTCTTCGTCGCTTTTTCCCTTTTCTAGGAGAAGAGTAGACCCTGATGCTTTGAATGTTTTGAATTGCATTTCCTGTCTTGACAGTTCCTCGGGCTGGGATCGCAATGCATTTATGTGGCAGTTGGCCTTAATAACCTTTATTGACTTTTAATGGGTAGGAGCCAAGACTGGATTATTTTAATGTATCCGTTTTTCAAACAGTGTAAAACACAACGTATAATTATCTTAGGTAAGCCATAGGCTACATTTAATTTTACCCATTTACGTTAAAATTTGGCACAGGAGAGCAGAGAGATGTGGAAAACGAGTAGGTGTTTTATGTAATACCATTACCCATTTCTTGTTGTTAAAGTTTTAAGAGAGAAATGTACTTAAGAATGCGAAGGTTGTCCTTTACACGTTAGTTCTGATTTCAAGATGAGTCATGCCTTTTTCCTTGTCATTCTGACCTGTGTAAATCATCTGGGAAAGCTCATGACAGGAGCCTGTCCACGGCTGTCACGTGGAGCCCTCCTTCCTGTAGGTTAGTCACAGGAGTGGCTGAGCCGAGGAGCACTTTGTCGGGGGAGATTAATGGGGCTATCACCACTGTGCTTTAGACTGAAATCTTGGATAACCGAGTGGAGGACGAGGGCTGCTTTTTCATATACTGAAATATGTACCGACTGTAGCGACATTGGCTATTGTGTTGTAATTCAGTTAGGCAAGTTCATTTTAAACTTTCTTCTGGGATTAACGATTTCTGGAGGTACGAAGAAGAAAGTAATATAAATAAACATTAATTTTTTGGTTCATATTAATGGTGAAGTCACCAACTTATATACGTGTGTGTGTGTATATATTCAAATATTTATGTTTCTATATATTTTTATATATCTTCCTTTTAGCGATCATGTATAGTAAATTACATTTGCTAACATAATCCCATCTTTCATTTTCAGAGGGAGCTTTTCTGACGGAGCAGGAATATACTGTAGTAATTTAGGACCTGGTGTGACATATCTGGTGGTTTTAAATGAAAATGAAAATTCCCTTCTCTCCTTTTTGGCAAGTGCTCAGAAAGCACAGATCGAAGGCAGGTCCACAGTCACAAGCACCCAGTAACTCAAGTTATGTACACAAACACGGAGTTTGGGGGCTTCTGGGTTTAACTTTGGAAATTTGGGGGGAAAAAGTCACTT